CATCCTCACGACTCTCGTTTCTGCGTTGGCCGGGATTGGCCGTTTCGCTTGAGACATCCTCGAAAAGTTGCGCTCCGGGACGCCGCGCGAGAGGTGGTCCGGGCCGTTTCGCTTGAGACATCCTCGAAACTCTGAGCCCCGAGGTGCCGTGCGAGAGGTGGTCCGGGCCGTTTCGCCTGAGACATCCTCGAAACTCTGAGCTCTGCGATGCCTTGCGCGAGGTGGTCCAGCCCGTTTCGCCTGAGACATCCTCGAAACTCTGACCTCGGAGATGCCGCGCGAGAGGTGGTCCGGCCCGTTTCGCCTGAGACATCCTCGAACTTCTGAGCTCTGAGATGCCCTGCGCGAGGTTGTCCGGCCCGTCTCGCCTGAGACATTCTTGCATTTCTGAGCTCTGAGATGCCTTGCGCAAGGTGGTCTGGCCTGTTTCGCACGAGACATTCTCGCAACTCTGAGCTCCCAGATGCCGCGCAAGAGGTGGTCCAGCCTGGGGGCCCAGAAGACCACATGTTACATATCCTCCCTGGGAGCCCCAGGAGGCCCCAGAGAGCTTCAGGAAGCCGCAGGACGCCCAGGACAGGCCCCAGGGGCCCGCAGGAGATTCCCAGGAGGCTCCCAGGAGGCCCCAGGAGGCCCCCTATCAGAACGTGTCAAGTTAATACACATCCGGTGCCGATTCGTTGATTTTTCCTGCTCTTGTGCCCCCCCCCATTTTAGGGGGGCCCCGACGGCCACATGTTAGATATCCCCCTAGGAGCCCCAAGAGGCTTCAGGAAGCCCCAGGTGGAGTTCAGGAGGCCACAGGAGGCCCAGGAGGGAGGTCCAGGAGGTCCCCAGGAGGCCCCAGGAGGCCCAGGAGGCCCCCGCAACTCGGAGCACTGAGACGCCGCGCTCGAGGTGGTCCGGCCCATTTCGCCTGAGACTTCCTCGCAGCACGTTTCGCCCGAGACATCGTCGCAATTCTAGGGTCCGAGATGCCGCGCGCGAGGTGGTCCAGCCCGTTACGCTGGAGACATCCTCGCAACTCTAGGCTCCGAGATGCCCTGCGCGAGGTGGTTCAGCCCATCTCGCCTGAGACATCCTCGCAACTCTGAGCTCTGAGATGCCGTGCGCAAGGTGGTCCGGCTCATTTCGCACAAGACATTCTCGCAACTCTGAGCTCCCAGATGCTGCGCAAGAGGTGGTCCAGCCTGTGGGCCCAGAAGACCACATGCTACATATCCCCCCTGGGACCCTGGGAGCCCCAGGAGGCCCCAGAGAGCTTCAGGAGGCCGCAGGACGCCCAGGACCGGCCCCAGGGGTCCGCAGGAGATTCCCAGGAGGCTCCCAGGAGGCCCCAGGCCCCGTATCAGAACGTGTCAAGTTAATACACATCCGGTGCCGATTCGTTGATTTGTCCTGCTCTTGTGCCCCCCCCTCCCCCCCATTTTGGGTTAGATATCCCCCCTGGGAGCCCAGGAAGCCCCAGGTGGGGTCCAGGAGGCCACAGGAGGCCCAGGAGGAAGCCCCAGGAGGTCACCCGGAGGCCCCAGGAGGCCCCAGGAGGCCCCCGCAACTCGGAGCTCTGAGACGCCGCGCTCGAGGTGGTCCGGCCCGTTTCGCCTGAGACTTCCTCGCAGCACGTTTCGCCCGAGACATCGTGGCAACTCTGGGGTCCGAGATGCCGCGCGCGAGGTGGTCCAGCCCGTTACGCTGGAGACATCCTCGCAACTCTAGGCTCCGAGATGCCCTGCGCGAGGTGGTCCAGCCCGTCTCGCCTGAGACATCCTCGCAACTCTGAGCTCTGAGATGCCGTGCGTAAGGTGGTCCGGCCCGTTTCGCACAAGACATTCTCGCAACTCTGAGCTCTCAGATGCTGCGCAAGAGGTGGTCCAGCCTGTGGGCCCAGAAGACCACATGCTACATATCCCCCCTGGGACCCTGGGAGCCCCAGGAGGCCCCAGAGAGCTTCAGGAGGCCGCAGGACGCCCAGGACAGGCCCCAGGGGTCCGCAGGAGATTCCCAGGAGGCTCCCAGGAGGCCCCAGGAGGCCCCCTATCAGAACGTGTCAAGTTAATACACATCCGGTGTCGATTCGTTGATTTTTCCTGCTCTTGTGGCCCCCCCCCATTTTGGGGGGCCCCGACGGCCACATGTTAGATATCCCCCCCTGGGAGCCCCAAGAGGCTTCAGGAAGCCCCAGGTGGGGTCCAGGAGGCCACAGGAGGCCCAGGAGGAAGCCCCAGGAGGTCACCAGGAGGCCCCAGGAGGCCCCAGGAGGCCCCAGGAGGCCCCCGCAACTCCGAGCTCTGAGACGCCGCGCTCGAGGTGGTCCGGCCCGTTACGCCTGAGACTTCCTCGCAGCACGTTTCGCCAGAGACATCGTGGCAACTCTGGGGTCCGAAATGCCGCGCGCGAGGTGGTCCAGCCCGTTACGCTGAAGACATCCTCGCAACTCTGGGCTCCGAGATGCCGTTCGGGATGAAGAGGAGGTGGTGGAGGAGGAGGAGGAGGAGGAGGAGGAGGAGGAGGAGGAGGAGGAGGAGGAGGAGGAGGCATGTTTTAACATGCCATGCCAGCCCGCAGTGGACGGGCACGCAATCGACCTTGGAAACCGCAGTGGGTCTAAAAACCCTGTTTGGGGATACTGCACTCCGGCTATAATTTTTATTTTTCGTCGAATATCCCCTTGTAGGGGGACAGGCCCGACCTAATCCTAATCTGCTCCGCTGAACCTCCCCGGAGCCCACGAGGGTGGCGACAGCTGCGCAGTGCGCGGCCCCCAGGGAGCCGCAGTGTCTCAGCTGGTTCCGCGTGCCCCTCCCGTTTCGCTGGACGTCCCAGGGGGCCTAAGAAGGAGGCGACGGCTGCGCAATGCGCAGCCCCGCAGGGAGCCGCGCTAGGAGGAGGAGGAGGAGGAGGAGGAGGCGGAGGAGGAGGAGGAGGAGGAGGGGGAGGAGGAGGAGGAGGAGGAGGAGGAGGAGGAGGAGAGGAGGGAGGAGGAGGAGGAGGAGGAGGAGAGGAGGAGGAGGTGGAGGAGGAGGAGGAGGAGGGGAGGAGGAGGAGGGGGAGGAGGAGGAGGAGGAGGAGGAGGAGGAGGAGGAGGAGGAGGAGGAGGAGGAGGAGGAGGAGGAGGAGGAGGAGGAGGAGGAGGAGCCGCGAGGTGTCGACCGGGCCCGCGTGCCCCTCCGCGCCAGTGAACCTCCAGGAGCCAACCGGGAGCCAGGAGCGCACGAGAGCGGCGGCGGCCGCGCAGCACGCAGCTCACGAGGGCGCCGCGGCGTATCGCCTGGATGCGCGGGCCAGCTCCACAGTCAACCATGATAGTAAGGATGGGGTGACTTTCCAAGGCTACCCTTGCATCTTGGTCCCGTCAGTATTCGGCATCATTTGGCATTCTGCTGCGCCCCGCACGGAAGACGTCAACATGGCGTTCCAAGGCCTTTGCATCCTTACCGCGCATCCTTACTATCCTGGTCGAGTGTACCCCGCTGGACCCGCCAGCAGCCCGCGAAAGTGGCGACGGCTGCACAGTTGACCCCCGCCCAGGAGCCGCAGGCCGTCGACGGGGCCCGCGCGTCCCGCCGCTCCGCTGGACCGCCCAGCAGCACACGAAAGCAGCGACACGTGTGCACTTGGCAGCCCCCGCCCGGGGAGCCGCGAGATCTCGACCGGATCCGCGTGTCCCTCCGCTCCGCTGAACTTCCCAGCGGCCCGCAGCAGTGGCGACGGCTTCGCACCTGGCAGCCCCCAGGGGGGCCGCGAGGTCTCGGCTGAAATGTGCGTGCCGATCTGCTCCGCCGGACCTCCCACGAGCCCACGACTGCGGCGACAGTGGCGCAGCTGGCAGCCCCCAGGGAGCCGCGAGGTATCGTCTGGGTGCGCGTGTCCTCCCGCTCCGCTGAACCTCCCATGGACCCACGCAAGCGGCCAAAGTTTCGCAGTTGGCAGCCCCCAGGGGGCCGCGAGGTCTCGAATGGATGTGCGCGTCCCCCCGCTCCGCTGAACCTCCCAGGAACCCACGCAAGTGGCCAAAGTTTCGCAGTTGGCAGCCCCCAGGGGGCCGCGAGGTCTCGAATGGATGTGCGCGTCCCCCCGCTCCGCTGAACCTCCGAGGAGCCCACGAAGGTGGCAACAGTTGCGCAGTTGGCCACTGCTTCGCAATAGTAAGCATGCAGACAGGAGGCAAAAGACAAAAAGAGGAAGGCGGGAGGAGTATTCGAGCGAGCGAGTGAGCGAGCGAGGGGAAGGGTGTCCGCCCGCTCGCTCGCTCGAGCAAACGAGCGAGCGGGCCGGCGAGCGAGCGGGCTGGCGAGCGCGGGGGACACGCGAGCGAGTCGGGGGGCTGGGTCGGGCGGGCGGGGCATCGAATGCATGATGCTCGCTCGAGCGAGCACCGTGCACCCGATGCCCCGACCCGGCCCGCCCGACTCGCTCGCTCGCCCTCGGCGCTCGCCAGCCCGACTCGCTCGCCAGACCGCTCGGTCGCTCGAGTGACCGAGCGGCCGACCGAGCGACCTCTCCGCCGCGCGCTCGCCAGCACGGCGGGCTGGCCAACGCGCGGCCGAGCGGGCTGAGCCTGCCCCCCCCCACCCACACACACCCACACAACACAACACACAACACAACACACAACACACAACACAACACACAACACAACACAACACAACACAACACAGCATAACACAACACAACACAACACAGCACAACACAGCACAATACAACACAACACAACACAGCACAACACAACACACCACACACACCACACACACACACACACACACACCCGTAGCCATTTTGGCTCAAGCCAGCCCTGGCGCCAGGGCGGGCAGGCGCGCGCCGTGCCTCTCCCCTTCACGGGAGAGAGCGGCTCTGTCCTGCCCCCCGCGTCGCGACCCCTGCAGTGGCGGTGTTGGGCGAGGACGGCAAGGGAATGGTGGCTGCGGGAGGGGACCCTCGTCGGCTCCCCCGCTCGCGTGGCGAGCGCAGCGAGGCGGCGCGGCGCGCTCGGGCGGCGGCCGATGCGGCTGTGCCACACGCCCGCCAAGGGCGCCAGCGACCTCGGGAAGGAGCTGGCCGAGCTCAGGGAGGCGGTGGCAATCCTCCTGGGCGACGCGGAGGTCGGAGACAGGGTCGTGGCGCTCATCCCGGCGCTCGCGGCGAGGCTGGCAGGCCGCGTCCCTGAGCACGCCGACCAGCCGAGGCGCAACGTCGCGCCGCATGCCGAGATCCCTGCCAGGGCGCCGGTGTCTCGGGCCTCGCCGCGGCAGCTCCGGCAGTGGCAGCGCTTGGCCAGGCTGGAGGCCCGCCGCTTCGGTGCTGGCGAGGGGCAGGGCGAGGCCAGCACGGCCGCCGCGGGAGCCGAGGCCGAGGAGGTCAATGACGACGCCGACGGCGGCCTCGGCCAGATCCTCGAAGGGGAGTGCAGCGCCCAGGACTCCCATCACTTCATCGGCCAGGCCGAGCCGCGGGTGGCCCAGCGGGGCTCTCTCGCCGAGGAGTTGCGGTTGGCCGCGGCCTGCGAGGGGCCGCAGGGCGGCGCCTCCCAGCAGGGGCGGCTCAACCCCTCGTTGGCGCAGCGCGCGGACCTGCACCGCCTGGGGAGGATCTTCCAGGCTTGGTGGGAGTGGTGGCCGTACCTCCGCGACGACGTGGGCGAGTGGAGCATGAGGGCCCCCCAGAGGGCTACCAGGTGGCCAGCCCCCTCGGCGTGGACGGCCATGCTACCGCCAGCCTGGCGGAGCAGGGCTTGGGCATGGCCGCTCAGCCTCGTGCGGAAGCCGATGCGAGCTCGCCCCACTTGGGCGCTCGTCATGTGCTTCGTGGAGTGGGCAGCCTGAAAGATGGCGGTAAGACCCCATCTACGGCGGCTTCAGGCTCCGTCTTTGTCGTCAGCGCGGAGGACGCTGGGGCGCAGCAGGCGCAGTATGGGGAGGCGACCGTGCAGGGCAGCCCCAGGCATGTCGTCTTGACGAAGATCGTGCGTGCGGAGGCCCTCTCAGGAGCTCGGGCGGACGGTTTCCTGGATGCCCTCAGGATGGTGCTGGACGGCGGCGGAGGGGGCCCCATAGACTTGGCGGCAACCAGCTGGCTGCCAGCTGCTTGGTGCACCGTCGCCGCGGAGAGGCAGGCCTGGAGACAAAGCCGCCCGTCTCGTACGGGGCGGCCCTTTGTCGCGAGGCGCCGCGCCCTCAAGGATGGGACCATGTGCATCAGGTTCGAAGTGTGGGACTGTCCGTGTCGGCGGTGCCAGGCCTCGGCGCGGAAGCCCAATCGTGCAGCTCGAGGGCCAGTTGCGTGGATGGCCCCATCGAGAGAGGCTCGGGCCCAGTAGGCCGCAGCCGACTTCGGCAGCAAGAGTGCCAGCTGCATGGATGGCCTCACGGTTGCCGGGGCGGTCGTTGGTTTGTGCCTCTTCGTGGGGGGCGGGTTCCGCCTCTGAGGGGACCCCAGCGGTAGGTTTGCTGCCCCTTTGGCGCGGTGTCCGCCGTGTTTGAGGGGCCTGAGGGGCGTCCGTCCCTTGGGGCGCCTGGGCCCGCATTTGCCGTTGGCGGGGCCTGGGCTCGGCGGAACAGCCTCGCACTTTTGTGCCCCCCTCGGCACTGTCGTGCTTAGGGGCCTGGGGCAGGGTGTGGTCCCCAGCGTGCCCTGGATCCGCCACCCTGGGGTGCCGGGGGGGCGCGTCCCCTGGCACGGCGGGCGGGGAGGCTCCGTCGTGGCTCCGTACACCTGGCGGCCCGAGAGCGCAGCGCAGGGCCTGCGGGCCCGAAGGCTGCAGCGAGGCGCGGACGCCCCGCAGTGTCCGATCACCAGAATCACCAGAATCACCAGAAACACCAGAAACACACACACACACACCACACACACACACACACACACACACACACACACACACACACACACACACACACACACGCACGCACGCACGCACGCACGCACGCACGCACGCACGCACGCACGCACGCACGCACGCACTCACCCACGCACTCACCCACGCACCCACGCACCCACGCACACACACACACACACAAACACACACACACACACAGGCTGCGCTCGTTGGCGGCCCGCTCGCTCGCTCGCTCGAGCGAGCGAGCGAAATGCGCGGGGTCCTTGTTGGGGAGGAGGGGGAGGGGGAGACGGTCGAGCAGCGGTCCATCTAAGACGAGAACCCGGCGCAGGAGGGTTGCGAACGTGCTAGCTCATGCGAACTCAACGCAAGATGAAGAGGAGGCCAAAGACAAGAGGGAGGCGGGAAGGAGGACGGATCGCGAAGCAAGCAGCGCATTAAGACGAAGGGCCTCACCAGAAGGATGGCCGGGAAGAAAGCAGGGTGGGATGCAGGAGGGCAGGAGGGAGGGAAAGGCGAGGGTGCGCAGCAGGAGGTTGCGCGAGCAGCGCTCCTGCTCGAGACGAGGACCTGGGCAGAGGGAGGGCTGGGAACAGACGCGACGTCGGACGCCCGGGGGGCCGGGCGGCGGAGGGCACGTCGGGACGCGACGCTCCGAGGAAGGCGCGTCGAGACAACGGCAGTTGGCCTTCGGAGGGCTCTCCCGCCGCCACGGCTGGACGCAGCTCGGACGACCGGTGCGTTTGGACCCCGGGATGCGTCCGGGGACAGCCCCAGACCTCCGACGCATTGAAAACATAAAGACGAAGGTTTTTCTCGATTTTCGGCCTCTAGCGGCCCTCGCCGGGCCCTGGGACCGTCAAAAAACGACTCAGGATGAAAAGCCGGTCCTGGAGAATGGGTCGAGACTTCCGGGGACCCTGTATGGAAAAAATCACGACATCGGATCTCCGGGGCCGTTGTGGACAGCCGCGGCGAGGCCGGCCTGGCGCAGGGCCCCTCTTCGGCCCTTCCCTCCTCCTCCGTTGGGCAAGCGAGGGCCTGACGGGTGCCGGTGTCGACAAGACGTAAGACTGACCCTTCGCCGGAGTGACTTTTGGTGCTGGTCCAAAGGGGGGTCGGGTGATTTGTTTTGAGGAATGAGCTTGACCTCGCGTCGGCACCCGCATCGCGCAAGTACGCTCGCATCTGAGCGCGCCAGGTTTGGGCCCACCCGTCGCAATCAACAGCAACGCATACGCGTCGCACCCAACAGTTTGCACTGGTTACACGAGGGTGAGCTGGTCGACCTGACGGCGCGTTTGCCGGCCCAGGACAAGTCCCGAATCCCAGCCCAAATCCCGAATTGTCTGGCTTGAAATTATTTGATAGATTCGGATTTCTCTGAATATCTTTAAATCTGTATGGATATGTTTTTTCGAACCAATGGGGATCTTTACTATTATAGGTTATTCAGAGATATTTAAACATATTCCAGGCTCTTGGATGGGGCCAGTTTGGGCCATGACGCCGGGCTTGGTCAGATCGACGTCATCGCGATGCAGCCTGGCAGTGCCAGACCTCATCGCGGTGGCCCCCGGCAGCGTCTGCTTTCGCAGCGCCTTCGAAGTGCCATTCGGGGCGCTCGAATTCAATCGGCGGAATTCCGCGTTTGCCCGCTGGCGCAAAAAACATTTCGAGTTGCAGCGCCGGCTTGCGCGATTGTGTTGGGCCCCCACGGGCGAAGCCGCGCACCAAAGGTCACTCTCTAGCCTAGGGTCACTCCTACGTGTAGTCGACGGTGCCGCCACGGCGGCGGCCGTCGCCGGCGCGGCACCGGGTGCGCTGGAGGTGCGGAAGGTGGTTGTCGTCGAGGGGATCGGGGGCGGGTAATCGGGGGAAACGGGTCTTTAGGTTTTTGTTTGCCGGATTCGTGCGTTTGGAGCTCTCGTTGCTCATCGTCGCATCCTTCGGCGTCTGGGCGTCCCTCCTTCCTCTCGGCCGATCCCCTCCCTCCTTGCTCGCCGGCCAGTTCGCTAGTTAGTGGCCCTACCCGCTGCCCGCCCCAAGACGTCAGAACGCGACTCAAGATGAAGATTTGGTCATGGGGGAAGGCCCCAGGGTCCAGGACCCGTTTTCCTCAGGACCCGGTTCCCCCATGCCAAGCCAAGGGTAGAAATGATTAGGAGGAGGCCTTCTCAGAAGGCGGCGGGACTTGTCAGAAGCCTTCGCGCCTTCTTGGAAGTCTTCTACATGTCTTCGGGGGAGGCTCAGAAAACTGCTCAGAAGACCAGAGAACTTCCGAGCCTTCTGAGAAGGCCCCCCCTTCCCACTTCCCCCTCGGACTCGCCGCCAAGACTGGGGAGGAGGCATCTCATGGCGGGTGTCAGGATATCTCCCCGGATGTCACGGCCCCCTCCCGCGGCGACCGAGCCTCCTGAGAAGGCCCCCCCCGTTCTCGCTTCCCCCTCGGACTCGCTGCCAAGACTGGCGGGGATGCGTTTCACGGCGGGTGCCAGGAGATCTCCCCGGACGTCATGACCCCATTCACGCTGCCGCTGCCCCGCCACCCCTCGGGGCGCGCACGTGCCTCGAGTCACGATCTGCGAACCTCCCTCTTGCCCGCCGCCCCCTCGTGGGCGCCCCCGCCCGCGTGGAGATGCGGGGGGGCCTCCGATGAGGAAGAGTCACCGATGCCGCCACCCGTCCCTCGGCGCCGCGGCTGGATTCGCCTCGAGATCGTGGTCAGGATGCGCCCTGGGAGAGGCCAGGGGGGGGGGGGTATCTCTTTGTCCCCTCAGGGGGGAGAGGGGGGAGAAGGGGGGGGGGAAGGGAGGGTCGAGGATCGAGGGTCTAGAATCGAGGATCAGGGGGGAGAGGGGGAAAGGGGGGGGAAGGGGGGTCGAGGATCGAGGATCCAGGCCATTGGACGCCGTTGGACCTCCAGAGTGGCCTGGGAGCCTGGAAGTGTCGCCAGCGACAAGGACTTGGGCGGCTGAGTGGTCGTGCTTTTGGGACAGTCATCTGCCAGTTGAGGAGCGGCGGCAGCAGAGCCTGATGGCTGCCGGCAGTGCTGCCTCCCTTGGCTTGCAACAGTGGCTTCACGTCGGGTGCCTCTGGGCAGAAGTCTTCGGCGCGAGCTTTCCCCTCGCATCGACAAGCTGATGTATGGTCCGCCTCGGCATCTATTTCACACCCGGCCACATCTTGATCGGTCATGTTCTCCCCGGCTGGTTTCGTTGCAGTGCCGTCAGCGAGGCGATGTTTGTTTTGCTATCCCTTGGTCCGACTCGGGCTTTTCTGTTTGTGGTGCTGGCACGTCACACACAGCCATACGGCGGGAACACGAATGCCGGCGTTTTGTCACGGGCGTGTCCGCTCCCCCGACACTGGCGCTTCGTGATGGTGTCTGAAGATGTCGTGGTTGCAGCCGGTGAGGTGATCACTTGCCGGATGCCAGGAACATGTCGCTAGAGGAGATCAAGAAGGCATCGCGCCGTTCCCGTAGTTGCCTGCAGCGGTGTTCACGTCGACACAAGAAGCTAACGTACGCTTGTATTGGACGGCTAGAACCACGAGCCATATACCAGGATTTCTGTAGCACCCCCCCCCCGCCCAAGAGAAGATATGCTCACAGTTGCCGTGATCGGGGGCCTGCAGAAGTAGCGAACACCGGATCGGGCGTTTGAGTTTGAGAAGCGGAGTCGGATTTTGGTGTCGGTGACCTCGGGATTCGCTATCTTTGAACGGGCCGTTCTGACAGGAATCCAGAGGCATGACGCGGCCAGCCTGAGCGAGAGTTAGGTACATGTTGTCTCTCCAGTTCTCGGCTCTTCTATTGCCGTTTCGGCAGGTTTCCGCATGTGGCATGTGCGTCAAGCGCGTGGCCGCTGGGTGTTCCACATGTGAACCCAGTCATGTGTGTGTGTGTGTGTTCGAGATTATTGGTACGGTCCATTGCTGCTTATGCTTCTCCCCTTCGCCGATATCCGTTTTTTATGGGGAAAATCCTGGAGACCTCGCGCGGCGCCAAATAGTTGTATCATCTAATTCGCGCGGCGATTTTCCGATGTAAATCCGACGTAGAACCGACGTGAACCCAACGTAGATCCGAGGTGGATCCGACGTAATTTGGGTCTCAGGTTGCCGCGTGAGGACTATTGGATGTTCTTCATGCCGCTTTGCTAAGTTCTCCGCCCTGGCACCACGGCACTGCATAGTTTGAAGCTTGCGCAGTTGCGCGAGGAGATCTTTGGCTAGTCTGGGCCGTTACTGCGTGTGTTCCTCCCACTTCCATCGATGTCCTCTTCGATAAATCTGTCACACAGACAATGCTCGGGTTGGGAGGACGGGGTTGGGAGACATGATCATATCATCGTTTCTTATCGCGTATGTTGAAGGTGCTTATTTCACAGGTATGCACGCTGTCATTTGCCTTCGCATCTTCCAACCCCCCTGGAGCTGGAGTTGCCTGTCGATTGTAATTGTGCTGGTACTGTGCTTCTGTGTTGAACTCAATTGGGTTATGTGTTTTAATCTCGCTGGAAACGACGTTTCCGCTCATCGCACTCCCGCGTCCTTCCTTCATCGTCAGAAGTTCCTCCTGAAGAACCCTGCCCTGCGCATTCGGAGCTGGGCCAGTATAGTCTGGCGTCACCTAAGGGTTCCGACCGGCAGCGACGTTGCAACGCCAGCGCCAGCGACTGATGCTGCCAACAAAGAGCAGAAGCATGCAGCCCATGAAGAACGGAAGCTGACCAATGCAACTGTGATTCCGTATCGCGAGAGAAACTCAATACGGAATGTGCCGCGGTCCCGCAACCTCCACAACAGTTGTATGAGCACGAGCCTAAGTTCACGATTGAGTTCCCGATCGGCAATGGATCGCAGTACGGGCCCCGATGCGGAATTTGTTTACTCACTAGGCGAATGCAGGACCCCCCTTGCACTGCCCATGCCCTAATCAGTGCTTGCACTGAAGGGGTCCTCGCGGAAGTTGAAAGATTTGGCGAAAGTTTCCCGCCGTTGGTAGCAAGCTGGGTTCCCCGGTTCCCGGTTCCGGGTTCCCGGGTTCCCGGTTATTGGTTCCGGGCCGATTTCGGTGGGTTTTGGGTTCTGGTTTCCCGGTCGATCTCCTCAGCGAAAACCATCCACTGATTGGGGTTTCTCTCTGGTGTCATTCACTGGGCAAATGCAGGACTCCCCCCTGCATTGCCCATGCCCTTGGTCCGTCCCCAGTGTTCGCCGCGTTGCTTCCACTCCCAAGACGGTCCGAAGGTGGCTCCGAGCTGGCCCAGAGCGCACACCAACAGGGCAAATGCAGGATCCCCCCCGGCATTGCCCGTGCCCTGGGTCCGTCCCTGGTGTTCGCCGCGTCGCTTCCACTCCCGAGATGGTCCAAAGGTGGCTCCGAGGTCCGAGGTGGCCCGGAGCGCCATGCCCTTGGTCCGTCCCCAGTGTTCGCCGCGTCGCTTTACCTCCCGAGACGGTCCGAAGGTGGCTCCGAGATGGGCCGGAGCGCTTGGTCCGCCCCAAAGGTTCGCCGTGTCGCTTCCGCTCCCGAGCGCCTCTGGGCGGCCGCCCGAGGGGCCACGGCAGGGCTCCAGGGAGGCCCCAAGCAGGCCGCGAAGTAGGCTGCAGGGTGCAGTCCTCCTCCTCCTCCTCCTGTTCCGCCTCCTCCTCCTCCTCCTCCGCCTCCTCCTCCTCCTCCTCCTCCTCCTCCTCCTCCTCCTCCTCCTCCTCCTCCTCCTCCTCTCGGGAAGTCTCCAGGGGCCCCGGATGTCCCCAAGGGGGCCACGAAGCGGGCAGCAGATTGCGGTCCGCTCCTCGGGAAGGCGCTCAGCGTGGCGCCGGAGTGACGGCCCGTGCGCTGCGGCGACGGCACGCTTCCCCCTTCGCTGGACGCGGGCGGCCGAGGTTGTCGTTCGTTGCGTCCGAATGCTATTGTTACGGGATTGTCCCTCCACGGGAGGCAAATTCAAAAATAAGAAAAAATAGTTTTGGGAAGATGTTTCTGCAATTTTTGATTACTTTGGAATATATTTTGGCTATTCTGGTTTTTCAACCAAAGTCGGCCTGTAGGGGGACACGCCCGACCTGATGCTATTGCTCATGCCCTGTTCCTCCCAACCCTGTCCCTCCAACAGGATAGCTGTCTTTCTCAATATTTCGCCCGTGCGCCACGACCCCACGTCTTCAAAGCCTGCCCAGGTGCGCCGGGAGGTCTTCGGCAGCCACGCCTGCGAGAACGGCGCGACGCCCGACAGTTTGCTGCCGTTTTCGGGAGGCACCGCCAGTCCTTCCCTGTCGCCTGCCTCGCCCAGATTGAGAGGGAAGCGAAGGATAAGAAGGAGGAGGGGGAGGAGGAGGAGGAGGAGGAGGAGGAGGAGGAGGAGGAGGAGGAGGAGGAGGAGGAGGAGACGGAGGAGACGGAGGAGGAGGAGGAGGAGGAGGAGGAGGAGGAGGAGGAGGAGGAGGAGGAGGAGACGGAGGAGGTCGAGGACGAGGACGAGGAGGAAGAGGACGAAACCGAGGAGGTCGCGGACGAGGAGGTCGAGGAGGAAGGAAGAGGCGGGAGCACATACAAAAAGGGACGGAGCGGTGGAGGAGGCATGAAGGAGAGGGCGCACGGGGGAGGACGGCGGAGGACTCGACGCGAGCGGCCCGCGATCGGCGTACGTGCGCATCCCCAGCTGGCGCAATGGTGCCGTCGCCTGTTTGGGCCTGGTGCTTGCATATCAGGGCCCAGATCTTTCCGATCGTTCCGATCCGGCTTTGATTCCAGCCGACCCGATCCGAGTGGGTTCTGACTGAGAAGGCCTTGCGGCCTGTGCCGCCGACCCTGGAGAGGGACGACGACGACAACAGCGGCGGCGTGGACGACGATGACGACGACGTCGACGACGACGACGCTGACGTGGGCTAGAGGTATGTTTCTTGGGCTCTCTTTGGAAGGCTCTCGGGGGCCTCCGGGGCGGAATTCTTGGGCCTCCTGGGAGCCTCTTTAGGGGCCTGTTGGGAGCCTCTTGCGGCCTCTTCGGGCTTCCTGGGGACCTCTTGCGGCCTCCTGGGAGCCTCTCGGGGCCGAGGGCTCGAAATGTCCGTTCGGGTTCCCTGTCTGGGCACGCTCGTGGAACCGTCGTGGGGGCCTCTTGGGCCATGTTGGAGGCGCTGTGGGGTGTCTTGCCGTCCTCTTGGTCTGTTTGGGGGCCTTCTTGGAGGCCTCTCGGGGCGATCTTGAAGGCCTGTTGGGCCGTATTGGAGCGGCGGGGAGCAGAAAAGGCGAGAACGATATGTATATATACACACATATACATCGGAGGTGAGGGGGTGAGATCGAAGTGGAACGGAGAGCCCCCCTACCGGGAAATCGATTTCGGTTTCGTGTTCGTGCGTGCCGTGCGCGCGGGCGAGGCGAAGCTGCGTGGGCGGGCGAGAGGAAAGTCTCCTGTGGCTGAGGCGCGGCCGGACCAAATGTGTCTCTTCTGGGCGGCCGGTGGCGCGCGGTGTCCCGCCGGTGTCCCGCTGGTGTCCCGCTGGTGTCCCGTGTGGCTGAGGCGCGGCCGGACCAAATGTGTCTCTTCCGGGCGGCCGGTGGCGCGCGGTGTCCCGCCGGTGTCCCGCCAGTGTCCCGTCGGTGTCCCGATGATGATGTTGATGATGATTATGATGATGATTATGATGATTATGGTGATGATGATGATGATGATGATGATGATGGTGATGATGATGATGTTGATGATGACAATGATGATGATGTTGATGTTGATGTTGATGTTGATGATGATGATGATGATGATGATGATGATGACGTCGATTGCGAGATTGATTGTGATATCGATAGTGAGACCGAATGTGAGATCGATTGTGAGATCGATAGTGAGATCGATTGTGAGATCGATAGTCAGATCGATTGTGAGATGATGATGGTGATGATGGTGATGATGGTGATGATGGTGATGATGATGGTGGTGATGATGATGATGATGATGACGTTGATGATGTTGATGATGGTGTCCCGATGACGATGATGTTGATGATGATGTTGATGATGGTCATGATGATGATGTTGATGATGATGGTGTCCCGATGATGATGATGATGATGACGATGATGACGTTGATGATGATGATGATGTCGATGATGATGGTGTCCCGATGGTGATGATTATGATTATTATGGTGATGATGACGATGATGGTGTCCCGACGATGATGATGATGATGATGATGATGAAGATGATGATGATGATGATGATGATGATGATGATGATGATGATGATGATGATTATGATGATGATGACGATGTTGAGGATGATGATGAGATGAGGATGATGATGATGATGATGATGATGATGATGATGATGATGATGATGATGGTGTCCCGATGATGATGGTGTTGATGATGATGTTGATGATGATGACAGTGAGACCGAATGTGAGACCGAATGTGAGATCGATTGTGAGATCGATAGTGAGATCGATAGTGAGATCGATAGCGAGATCGATAGTGATATTGATGGTGAGATCGAATGTGAGATCGATTGTGAGATCGATAGCGAGATCGATTGAGTGAGACGTTGGTTCCCCCTCCCCCCTCACCTCCTTATCACCCGCAGGGTGGTCGTACAGGTATATATATATACATACATACATACATACATGCATGCATGCATGCATGCATACATACAGACAGACAGACAGACAGAGACAGACAGACAGACAGACAGACAGACAGACAGACAGACATCTATATATATGTATATACGCATAGAAACCAAGGGGGAATCAATTAAAGTTTGCCTCGTAGGGCCCTTCTCGGGATTGCTCTTGGAGGCTTCTTGCGACGTCTTCTCGGCCTCCTGGGCAGTCTGAAGGGCGTGAAGGCTTTTTGGGCCGATGGTTTGGCGATCGGGGGCCCTCTTGGACCGTCTCAGGGTCATCTTGGGTCACTCTTGGCCTGCCCTGGTGGTACTTTCTGAGGCCCCGGGATCCCCAGGGGGGGGGGATGCGTATCTGACCCCCCCCCCTGGACCCTCCCCGGGACCCCCCCCTATCCGCGACTGGCGGGCACCAGGCGGAAGTTCAGAAACGGATGCCGGTGCACGAGGCGGCGACTGGCGGGCGCCGAGGGGAAGCCCAGAAGAGCATGCCAGCTCACGAGGCGACGACGAGGCGGCGACAGGCGTGCATAGCACGGCGGGCACCGGGCGAGATCCCAGAAGCGTCACCGATCCCCAAACAGAAGCTCCGGAAACGAATCTGACCAAAAATCAAGATTGGATTCTACGGGTGTTGTGCTCTTGCGCCAATGTTTGTTCCCAACCCTCCCTTGCTTGGGTTCTCGTTCTGAAGAAGCACTGTAGTCTCCACCTTCGTGTCCTCCCGCCTTTTCCTGCTTCTTTCTGCGCTACTCCCCGGGAGTATTGTTGTCTCCGTCGCCTCTCCTCTCTCCTCTCCTCTTCTTCGTCCGCCTTCCTCCCCCTGCCCTCTCTTCCTCTTCCGCCCCCTCCTCCTCCTCCTCTTTCTCCCTCTCCTCTCTTCCTCCTCGTCCTTCTTTTCCTCCTCCTCTTCCTCGGATGCAGCTGCAAGGTCTTCTACGGCATCCCCGCGCTGGCTTTCATTGTCAGAGCGGGCTCTCACCTCTTCCCCCTCGCGCTCTGTTCTCCTCCGTTTTCGTGCCTCAAGTCGCTCCCTGTGCTCTCCACCGTCTGCTACGACCGGCGCCTGACTCTGTTGGACCGGTTGGCGCCCGCGGACTTAAAACTATCCGTACGGGTTTCGCCCCTGCCGCCAACCCCTTCTCTCAAAAAATGGTATATGCGTATATGCAAGAGTTGTGTGGGGAGGCCTGGGCGCCGTGGTGAAGCAGCGTCGGAACTCCGAGCGATGGCCAATGTCGTACGTTACGGCTTGCACTGCAAACCTGAAACGGGTCGTTCTTTGTGAGGACCTTGCAATCTTAACGTTGTTGTCCGACAGTGCATGGTGCTGCGTGCAAGGTGTATGGCCGCGGGGACGCAAATATCATGTAATGTACGAAGGTGTATGTATCGGTGACGCGAACGTCGTGTAAATTACAAGGGAAAAATCTACGAGTCTTTATCGCCTCGGGGACACCCATATTGCATACTTTACAAGGTTGTATGGTCAAGGGGACGCGGACATTGCGTAACTTACACGCAACGATTGTGGCCTCGGGGACGCAACGATTGTATAACTTACTTGGGTTTATGGCCTTGGGGACACGAATATTGTATGCTTTACGAAGTGTTTTTGCCTCGGGGTCGCAAGCATAGTGTAGTTTACTAAGTTGTATGGCCTCGGTGACGCGAACATCATGTAATTTACCAGATGTTGTCGCTTCGGGGGCGCAAGTACTGCATACTTTATAAAAGTTTTATGGCCTCGCGGGCGCACATGTTGATAATTTAAAAAGTTCTTTAGCCACGGGATCGCGAACAGTGTTTAATGTACGACGGATTATGGTTCCGGGGGCGGGAATCTGGTGTATTTTTACATGTCCCGCGACCCCCCGGGAACTCAGACAACGCGATCCGGGCGTGGTGATTTAGGCCGGTTTCGGCTCCCCTGGTGCAGGGAGCAGGACACCTCCGCCACGCAGCTTGATGGCCCCGCGACAGGGCCGGCGAATTCCAGTCTGCCTTGTTTTGTTGGCGCCGCATCGGTTGCATGCGCCCCAAGTGCTAACAACATTGAAGTATCCTGCCTCGTCCACTGCTTGCTTCCATCTATGGTTCCCTCCTGCTTGCTTATAATGTTCCCTACTCTCTCCCGCCCTCCCTTCTCGCCTCCAATCTTCACTCCCGGGTTCATCCTGGTTTCCCTCCCCGCCTCTTCCTTCGCTGGCAGTGTGGGCTGGCACTTCTGGCCGCCACCTCCATCGCCCCCCCGCAGGCCCGGGGCGGGGTGCCCGGCGTGGACAACCACAGGGAGCATGCCAACGCACGCCCACGCCCGCTCCCGCGCCCACGCCCACGCGCACACCCACACCCACGCCCACGCCCACGCCCGCGCGCACGCCCACGCCCACGCCCACGCCCACGCCCTCCAAGCACGACGCCCGCAAAAAGCATGCCAAATGGCGCCCGTCGTCGTGGTCGCTGTCGTCCCTCCGCCGCAGCCCCCCCCCCCCGCAAGGAAGTCTGGACGACCTCCCGGGGCCGAGCAGCGCCGCGCGACCCAGCAGCGGAGGCCGCCGCCCGGCGCCTGCCCCGAGGAGGGGCCGTTCGTTTCGGCCCTCTGCTGCTGCTGCCTTTCGTGCGCTCCTCCCCTGCCTCGTCCTCGTCCTCGCCCTCTCCTCCTGGCCATCTCCGCCCCCTCCTGCCCCCACGCCTGGTCCCCCATCCTCTTCGTCCCCCTCCTCCTTCCGTTTCCCCCTCCCTCCTGCTCCCCCCACTCCTCCACGGACGCCCGCGCCCTCGGGTGGACGAGCGTCGCGACAGGCTAATTGCACAGGTGAGCGAGCATGCACGCACGGCCAAGACCGTGACTGAGACCGTCGAGCTGCTGCCACCGGGGGGAACGCGCATCGGCGACGTCTCCGCCAACTCGAAAGGGAGATAGCCGGGTGTAACCTTTCTCCTCCTGCCCGGCCTCCCACGAGCAACGCTTGGGCCCCCTCTGGTCTTTCTCCACCTGGATGCCACCGGACAGCCGGCGAGGAGGCTGATGGCGGCAGTGCCATACCCGCTCGTCTGCCCGACGATAGACAGAGAATAGCATTAAGTCGGGCGTGTGCCTCGCTCGTCTGCCCGACGATAGACAGAGACTAGCATTGAGTCGGGCGTGTTACTCTACAGGGCGAATGTTCAAAATGGTCCAAAAATTGCCAGGGGAGGATTTCTCCACTATTTTTGTCAGTTTTTGAATATCTGTTGTGGACTGTTGTTCAGTTTTCGTCCAAAATCCGCCTGTAGGTGGACACGCCCGACCTAAGACTAGCAGCGAGCCGCAGGGAACCGCATCGGGCACGCCTGCCGCGCGCGGATGGACGAGGCCGACGCCGCCGGCGACTTTGACGGAATCGTCGACCTGGCAAACCAAGCGGCGCACGCGTGCCACACAGAACTCTGTTGCAGATATCCGCCGCAAGACCCAAAACAATATCCGACCAGGCACAGCACAACTCCATGCTTCCAGGACACCTGCGCTGCCCCGCTCACCCAGAACATGGAGCAGCTGATTAACTAGTCGTTGCACACTCGCTCTCGACAAGCTCTCGCGGCAACTCAGGGACATGAAGGAGGGCCTGGTGCCCCACCAGTAATTACCCAGGCCAGCAAGGCGCCAGCCATCCTAGTCACTGAAAGCAAAGCATCCGGACCTGGGCTGCGGCTAATGTCTTCCCCAAGCGCCACCAGCCAATTGGCCTTACGGAATTCCCGGACGTCTGGGATTGTGACGAATTCCCGACCGACCAGCACTTTGATAATTAAAAAAGCGTTTTCTGCCGCTGCTGGCAGGGTGTGGCAGGGCTTCACCCGAAAATGGGAGAAATCACAACCAACTAGGACGGAGTCCAACCATTTCGGTACCAATCCCAATCAATTGATACCAATTACAACCGCTTTGGAAGCTCCTTAGAAGCGCCTTAGAGGCTCTCTAGAGGCGCCTTCTGAAGGATTCCTGAAGGATCTCTGTAGGATTTCTGAAGGATTCTTGAAGAACTCCTGAAGGATTCCTGAGCATTCGTCAAGATTGCGCATGATTCCTGAAGGATGCATGAAGGATGCCTGAAGGATTTCTGATGATTTTCTGTCTGAAGAATTCCAGGAGGATTCCCTAAGGATTCCATAGGATTCCGGAGGATTCGCTCCCTCTTCTCATGCGGCCGCTTCCCGCCACAAGAGGAACCTCGCGCGCCCAGGCGGATTTTCCGCCCGAGTTGCTGCGGTTTCCCTCCCGCTCCTCCCCAACCTTTCACGAAGACCTCATCCTCCCCCCCTCCCTCTTCCTTCTCCCCTCCCACCGGCCAACGCTGGCCCGAGCCCAGTCGCTTGGGTCCCAGGTCCCAGGTCCTGGAGGCTAGAGCTCGGCGAGAGCAGGGGCCTTGGAGTCCGTAGAGGAGGAGTCCGCAGAGGAGGCGAAAAAGGAGGAGGAGGAGGGGGAGGAGGAGGAGGAGGAGGAGGAGGAGGAGGAGGAGGAGGAGGAGGAGGGGGAGGAGGAGGAGGAGGGGAGGAGGAGGAGGAGGAGGAGGAGGAGGAGGAGGAGGAGGAGGAGGAGTTATCTGGAACTCCTTTGGCATGGCGCCCCCGTGGCAGGGCCCCGCCCCTCCCACCGACCGTCGATGGCCAGCCCTGGGCGGCCGGGGCCGACGGCGGCCGACGGCGGCAAGGGGATTTTGCTTGCTGGCCCGCGGGGTCGCTGGGCAGGCAGGGGGCTCGGCATCGCTCGGACGCGTGCATCGGTTCCCGGCAAGAACTGGGGGAGCAAAGAATGGCATAAACACAACTCGGAGGTCCCCGCGAGGGTTTCTCGGATCCGCGCTGGACCCCCCTGGCGGCGCCTCCGGCGCCGCCCCTGGCGCGCTTCGCGCGCCAGGGAGAGGGGTCCAGCTCGGATCCGAGAAATCCTCGCGGACCTCCGAGTTTTTATTTTTATGTTGTTAGTTTTCGTTCCCCCAAGAGAACCATCGTGGAGCATTTGGGGTCATCCTGCGCAGACGTACACGCGCGGAGCCGAGGAGTGCACGAGGAAAGGACGTCCGAGCGATGGCGAGGGGAGAGGCTGGGGGCGATCGAGGATCCCCCGGTCTCTCCTTGCCTGGGACTTGCAGGATCCAGGCGGGGAGGGACTGACCCAGCTGTGGGGCTTCCAGGAGACTACCAGCCCTTCGACCCTCGCGAGTCCCATGAATGGGATGGCGAGCAGAGAAAGGGGGGATTCGGACTGGGAAGGCGGTGTTGTTCCCCCTTGCGGGGGCTTCCAGGAGGCGTCTCGTCGCAGTGGCTGGGTCTCTTTCGAGATTCTCACCTGAACGCACCCCAGGATAGATTCGGGGGCGATTTCTGGCCTCCCGACCCAGGGCTCCTCGCGCAATTAGGGGAACAAAAAACACGACCGACGCTGTCTGGCCTTTTTCGGCTTCCGGCTCTGGGGAAAGGGTCCAGACCACTTGGGGGGCAAAGTGTGAGCAAAGCATGGGGGAGATGGGAGGAAGGAGGGATGAGAGAGGATCGATGGACGAAACACAGTGGAATACATGTTGTCCAACGTCAGGGGCACGCCGCTCTTCATAAGGAGGTCGGAGCGAGGGCGGGGAAACCAGGAGCGAGCACAGACAACGCAGCAGGGACACGCGAGGGGAGCTGATCGTCTGGAGGTTCGTTTCTGTTCACGGAGTGAACGGTTGCTTGGGCTCTGGCCCAGGGCCCAGATCGATCGGGCCTGGGGACTGCGGAAGAGAGACGTGTGGCCGGCTTCTGACGGTTTCTGCAACGATGTTGAACGTGTGTCGCGTCGCCAGATATATGTTCGAATTCTCCAGGTGTTCTCTCACGCGTGTGGGGACGCTCGTGGCCCCAGCGGGGCGCAGCTTGAAAGACTGGCCGGACGAAGCCCAGGCGGTCTGCAGGTCGATCTTGACTTTTTTTCTCCCGCGGCCCACCCGCGTCGCGAAAGAGCACGACGGAAGGCGTTTCCCGAAGTCTGCCGAGGGTGTCCCCGAGACAGCCACCGAGGGGGCCCGGACGACCCCCAGCGGCCGCCAGGACGGCCCGGGAGAGCCTTCAAGGCAACCCCACGACAGGCCACGAGCTGCTCTCGGAGCCTGAACGAGGAGAGGGTGGGCGCATGAGATGGACAGGCGGAGGAGGAGGGGTGATAGGAGGGAGGAGGAGGAGGAGGAGGAGGAGGAGGAGGAGGAGGAGGAAAAAGAAGGAGGAGGAGGAGAAAGGAGGAGGAGGAGGAGGAGGAGGAGGAGGAGGAGGAGGAGGAGGAGGGAGGAGGAGAAGGAGGAGGAGGAGGAGGGGGAGGTAGAAAGGAGGAGGGTCAGCTTTCGGCCCTCTGGGGCCTCTTGCCATGCCACGGGGTCGTCGGAAAGCGGCTCGGTGCGGAGAGTTCCTCCCAGAGAGCGGGTCGAGGCGTGAAGGAGCCCACGCTGCGAGGCAGCAGAGGGAGCACGGCGTCGGGTACCCAGGTAGGCGCAAGTCGGGCACGTCCCTTTACAGGAGGAACACAGCCAAGACGCTGGAATAAGCAGCAGTTCGGATTCGGAAGGGGCTCGATGTTCCTTAATTGCGTCCTTCTGTGGTTGTTCCTCTAGCCCTTCTCGTGCACCCAGGCTTTTTTGAAGCCACAGAGGGGCTTCGTTCCTCATTTAGCGTTCCTGATTTCAGCAGCCCGACTGTGTTCAAAAATAATCAAACAATAGTCAGGGGAGGATTGTTTGACTATTGTTGGCAATGTTGGAACAGGTGTTTGACTTTTAAAGCTGTTCGTCCAACATTCCCTCTGTAGGAGGACACGCCCGACCTAGAGGTAGTCAGGAGGACGCGGCGAAGGAGTAGTGGGAGCGGGGATGGAATCAGCGACGCAGGCGTAGGAGGATTGTCTCGAGTAGATCTTGAAGCAAGTCGGCTGAACGGGCGTTCTGTCAAAGTCAGATGCCCACCCGTTGCGAGGCTCGGTGAAGCGGCGGCGTGGTAGTTTCATAGTCGAGATGTCTGGGAACCAAGACGACTTCGACGTGTACAAGCCCGTTTTCGAGGCGACGTTGAGGAGTATGTATGGCCTCCAGGATGTCGAGCCCCGCTTTTGGTTTCAGTTCTCTGGCGGTTGATTTGACGTGGCGAGTGTTGTTACGCCCGCTCGCTGCATCGTCTCGTGTAGCAGATGGGGCGTTAAATATCTCCCCATCTATATCTCTATGTTGCTCGTTCTCTCTCTGTTTCTCTCTTTCTCCCGCTCTCTCTCTCTCTCTTTCTCCCTCGCTGTCTCTCTCTCTCTCTCTCTCTCGCTACATATATATAGATATAGATATAGATGTCTATTTCTCCCCCTCTGTGTATATGTAAACATTTGCGTATCTGTGCAGATGGTTTGTATATATCGCGTGTATATGTATATGTCTCTCTCTCTCTCTGTGTCTCCGTCTCTCTTTCTCTTGTTGTCCCTCTCTCTCTCTTTCTCTCTCTCTCTCTCCGCTTTTCTTTGTTTTGATTCCCTGAGTAAGACTGACGTAACAGCGGAGATCATGTAGCCCACAGGGGAGTGTCCCGTCTCTTCCTGATCCCCAGAGCCTTGCCCAGAAGGTTCTCGAAAATGCCATTGAGCGCGCATGTGGTGCATCGGTCGCACGCGGCCGCGCCCGGCCGCCCCCCCCG